TAGGGATTCAACCTGTACCTCTGTACTAGAATTTGATGCCAGTAGCAAAACTGGTAACCCACCCACTTTTTCAGTAGTATCTCAATAGCAAGTAAACTAGAGAGCTTAGAGCAACTAACACTGAGATCATCGTGCTGCTGAAACCAGCCTTTGTCTGTGTCTGCTGCCAACCATGCGGCCCAGGTGGTGGTGCAGGCAGCGGCGGTGGGCATTCCGGTCCAGCAAACTGCGGTGGCGGTTGACCCGGCCAGTACCAAATGAAGCAGTCAGCACCAAGACTTACTTATATGGTAAAGTGTTGGCCGGTTTTTCTGTCAGCCAAGTGGGTACTCGGGAAGGACAACCTCTTGGTCTGTTCCAATGGTCTTGGGGGATGCCAGGGGGGGTGTTTTCATCTTCTCCTTGCTCATGGTCTTTTCGCGCTCTGCCACCTGCGCTCCATACTCAAAGACCACTCTCATGGATACCAGAATGGTCATGCACTTGTCAATCAAACCCTGGTCCACTTGGAAGGTTTGCAGTCCTTCGGCGAAACAATGTGCTGCCACGTCGTAATGCGTTTCGTTAAGCCCCTGATCCCGGAACATGTGAGTGTGAGTTCGAATCATAAAGTCCAACAAGTCTTCATCGGTAGGTTTATCACTCTCCTTTCCAAAAATGGACCGAAACAACTCGATCAGAAAGCAGAAGTAATGAAACGCAAGCGTCAGGAACAAATGAACGAATTGACAGAGTTACGTTTGAAGAAAGCGCGAAGGGAGGAGGAAGAAGCTCTGCCTCATTCTCGACAGAGTCCATGGGAAAGAAGTTATAAAATATAGTCACCCCCAACATTTTCTTATAGTTACTTCCAATCTAGTTTAAAAAACACTGCTTAATGTCCCATGGCATAGTCCTTATTATCTGCATGACAAGTATCGGTGGACAGGACTTCGTGCCGCCGGCCAAGCGCGGAAGGCAATTTGTGTTCACAATACTTGTGAGGGTGAAAGCGGTAGAAGGCAGTAATGTGATTGGCTAATCAACCTATGACATCAGCAAATGCGTCAGCAAAGATTCAAATATACTTAACGTACCATTTATAGTTATTACGGATACAGTGTGCTATCAAGTTCGAAATTTCGTGTTTCTGTTTTCGGAAAGAAGGATTCCGTTGAAGAAGATCGACAATAACAACAACCACCGGCAACCACCGCTCGACAGTCATTATCTCAGCCAAAGCCAAAAGCATGACCGGAACAGCAGCAACAGCAGCAGCAGCAACAACAGCAACAGCAGCTACCACTCACAATGGAGGAATGGGCTGCCAAAGTCAACAGAGGAACTCCCAGCAGAAGAGAGCTTATGAACTCGCCAAATTGAACAACAACAACAACAACAGATCCAAGAGAGCCAGAGAAGAAGGACCCCAAACAACACTGGGAGGAGAGGTAGCAGAAGTCTTTGATCCACTCAAGAAGTGTGTCATCTGTAAGGCCAGACATCTTGGTTTCAGAGTCCCAAAAAGATCACACCACGTTCTCTGTATTAAGAATACAGTAACAAGAGGAAGAGGAGATTTGAATGAGCTGACAATGGAAACTATCAGAGAGAGCAGAAGACTTACAAGGCACTTCAGTGCTCCTCTTCCACTGAATGAGAGAGGAAGCTGGAAGCATTCCACAAGAGAGAATGGAGATGCCTTCTTCACTGCTAGAACGAACACAGCCAAACCAAACCAGAGCCGGCAACAGAAGACATCCACAACCAAGACAACTCCAGTAGCTCTTTGTAAAAAGGTAACCACTCTTGTAAAGGATTCTGCCTTTGTGGAACAGCACAAGACCAAAGGAGCACCACTGGCAATGCTAGCCATGGCACAAGTAGTGTCAGAGTCCATTATCAGGCCAAAAAATCCACAACTGTTCAGCCAACACTTTGAAGGACTCACCATGACAGTTCCATCCACAGAGGAGCAATTCAAGTCTCCACACTATCACTCTATTGTTGGCCAGAAACTCATCCTGGTGGACTGGAATCGATGTGGAATTACAGTCCCTTGTCCGGATGGAAGATGCTCTGGCCAACTCAAGAATGCGAGGCATAACTGGTCCAAGAACAAGACCTTGTTCCCTATCTTTGGCATCACTGGTCCTCCTGCAATACACGGCTCTTAGCCTTATTCGCGACTCGATCCTAGATAGGGTTTGAGTTCGACTCATGACTGAGTCTCTTGTGAATAGTCATTGAGACAGGGTTCTCATGACCGCTAGTCATACTAGGTCGATGGTGAAACATCGCGCTAGATATTTAGCTGGCGTGGAGAGATTCCACGCTACTAGATAAATGCTAGGCAAATCTTCCACGCGTTCCGTTTTTGGATCGTGGAACGAGTAGGATTACTACCACAACCTACTCTATCACACTTTATAGTCTCCCGCGAGAGTTCAGATCTACGATCCCTTGATTGTGATCTCTCTCGTTGATTAGTTTTCATAGCTTTCTAATCCTCTCATAACTTTCATTCTCTCAAACTCAAAACACTCGAAAGATCTTTACACTAGCTTTTAGCGTAGTGCATCAGTGCTTGGGCTATTGTGGTACTTATGAAATCGTGGTTTATGTCAGCATGCTCCGTATATTTCGTTGCAGGAGTTGATCAGCTTTTTCGGTGATTCTCTGGATCGTTTCAGTATCTCGAGTCGCTCCCTGTTGCATAGGCTGCAGTGTCGTGTTGCGAAGGTCTTGGCAGTGCTGATGGGGTTGCCTTGCCATAGGATGCTCAGTTCGATGCTGCTTCTTTGAATGTTGCCGTTGAGTCGGAGTATTGAAGGAGGTGCAAAGTTTTGGAATTCATTGGTGAAGTGTCTTGCGTATGAGGCTGACTTGCGTTTTTTGTAGAGGAGACGCATGCCATCGGTGAAGTGTTGCTATGTTCATTCTTTGAAGTTTTGTTGTGTTGCCCCAACGTATTCCTTGCCCGAGTTAGGCATTTGATGCAGTATATTACCATTTTGTTTGCAGCGGTCGTCAAAGCAGCATTGGCCGTCTTTCTTATTTCCTGGCATGCAGTTGCAAGTTTCATTTTGGAACTCGGTGGAGACGACATCTTTGGTGAGCTTCCTTGATAGGTCGCCCATGAACATCTCTCTCAGGTTGGTGAATCGATGGTAGGACATAGACGTTCTGATCCATTCGAGGCCGTGTCTCTTCTTGAGGTCGTTGATTATCTTGTGTACTGTATTGGAGTTGTCCAAGCTTTGGTGTGTCCTATAGAAGAATGATGATCGTTCCGGTTCCTCTTAGCAAGCATGTGCCAGTACAGGCTGAATCTAAACTATCGACACAAATGCAAGCCCGCTCCCGGTAAGACATTCGAAGGTGAACCGGAACGTTCCGTGAAAAGACTTAGAGGAAGTAATAACCGCATCCCTAAACTCAACTGACATCACTCGCTCGGATCGATCGATCGATCCAAGCCACTCGTACGACATGGTCCTCTTTCATCATTTTGATACCTCTATCTTTACTCTATCAAGATGATGCTTCCTCCTCTTCTTTACAGCGGATACTCCTCTTAACAAAGGCTACTACTCACCACCATGACAGTCTCCTCTTGTTTGGCTAGCGACAGCAGGAGCGACAGCCGTTCGTCGGATCGGTCGGTGACAGGAGCTTCCATTTGACGGATTGATGACTTCTTTCTTCTTCCACGGAGCGACCATGACGCCTCTTCTTCCGCGGAATGACGACGCTTCTACCGCTAAAGCAACAACAAAGCGACTACTACAACTAGAACGACAAGCGACGCCTCGTCAATGGCACTGGCACTAGTTTCTTCGGTTCGACAGATCGATTTTGGTCTGCTTCCTGCTTTCACAGAGCAACCATGAGGATCGCTTCCTCTTCCACGAAGTGGCCGTGAGCCTACGACACTGCTACTACAAAAGGAACAAGCGGCAGCTTCTCTACTACTGGTTTGAGTGGTCGACTGACTACAAACATGAAAATCTTCTCAATTTTGTGGCCATCAAGTCAACAATTCTCCTTTGAAACTTTAAATTGGGGGCTCCAGTCTTCATGCAGAGCCACCCACTCCTCTATCACACTCTACAGTGCAGATTGAGTGCTGAGAGTGAGGACTGGAGCACCTTTCCCATGAAGAAGTCCATGGCAGAATGACAACAAAATGGAATCCAAGCCTGACTTTTCCTAGATGCTCCATAGGAAGCCTTGGAGAGGATAGCTGAGTCCCTTCAAGGTGTGGCTCTGTGAGTGTGTTGGGGGGCTAGTTCCCTGACAGACTCAGCTAGAACAATGTAATGTAGAGCTAGAGACCATTTGGCCAACACTGTTGCCATGGTGGTAAAATTGATCTTTTCTTTGTTCTTTGTTATTCTGCGAACCAACAGTTATTCACGACCGAATTTATAACCCCCAGATCCCGTAGATCTATCAATTTCCCTGGTACTGAAGGGGCCTCTACAGGGCTGTGGTAGGTTTTCTACGTGTGACATCATCAGAAGGAAGCACATGTTCCTCTACTTAACTGTTTTATTATGCAATTCCATGTTATAAACTGCTCTATCTCGCCAAATATTTACTCAGTCATTTTAAAAGCAAGGGTTGAGTGAAGTTTGTTGAACCATGCACAAGTCGACTTAACAATGGTTCCACGATGAGACGATTTTGAGGGATTTTGGGAAAAATCGATGGATAGGTAGGATCTGGGGGTCATAGAATCGTGAAATGACCACTTCCGGGTTCCCATTTCCGAAACCGAAAAATAACCGTAAAAAATGCTCAAATTTTGACACCTGTCAGCGGTAAATAAAGTCATCGTGTACCAGTTGGGGGTATTTTGACCACTTCAATGGTACTGGTACCAGGTACCGGGATGACGTCATATCTGTAGTAGTGGCTTTCGAAGCAATAATGGACCACACGGTCCCCTCCCCACCTCAGTTCCCTCCTGGAAGTCCCCCGATTGGCGATCGTGGAAAGTCGCGAAGTCGTTAAAGTCGCGAAGTCGTTAAAGTCGCGAAAGTCGTTAAAGTCGCGTCCAAAGTCGCGTCAAGTCGCTCGACTTTGCGAAAGTCGCGAAAGTCGCGGTACAAGTCGTTGAAAGTCGCGATTAATCACTAGTAAAATGCTAGCAAAGCCGCGAAAAGTCGCGAAAGTCGCAAAAGTCGCGGTGAAAGTCGCTCCAAAGTCGCGCGACTTTCCAAAGTCGTGAAAGTCGCGAAAGTCGCGCGACTTTCGCGTCTTTCACAGGAAAGTCGTTATCTCATTAATCGGGGGACTTCCTGTCTAACCAAAGTAGTCTATTGCAAAGGACACCGGAGGTGTAATAGATATACCGGGCGAGCTAAATTAAAAGATGGGCCGGCATAGTAATATTGTTGAAGTTTGGCTGAAGGTAGTGTCATTATATTTTTCCTCTGAGAAATTGCGTGGTAGCTGACGGAGTTAGAGGTGTGCAACATGAGAGTTAGATTTTTCCGTTGAGAAAGTGGCGTGGTAGTTACGGGAGTTTAGAGTGTGCAACCTGAGACGTTAGATTTTTTCGTTGAGAAGAGCGTGGTAGTACGGATTAGATAAACGCTAACCTAAGGATAAGAAACCAACAAAACCAACCAACCACCATCACAATAAAGACACCGAGGTGTAATATATATACCGGGCGAGCTGAATTAAAAGATGGGCCGCATATAATATTGTTAATTTGGCTGAAGGTAGTGTCATTAATTTTTCCGTCTGAGAAATGGCGTGGTAGCTTACGTAGTTTAGAGGTGTGCAAATGAGACGTTAGATTTTCCATCTGAGAAAATGGCGTGGTAGCTTAGGGATTTAGAGGTGTCAACGTGAGACGTTAGATTTTTCCGTCTGAGAAAGTGGCGTGGTAGCTTACGGGAGTTTAGAGGTGTGCAACGTGAGACGTAAGATTTTCCTCTGAGAAAGCTGGTAGCTTACGATTTAGAGTGTGCAAGGCAGTATTAGTTCCATGAGAAAGTGGCGTGGTAGCTTACGGGAGTTTAAGTGTGCAACGTGAGTCATTAGATTTTTCCATCTGAGAAAGTGGCGTGGTAGCTTACGGGAGTTTAGAAGGTGTGCATGAGGAAAATATTAGGATCCGTTGCTACCATATGTTATTATGAGAACGCGTGAGAAGAGGGGGTTGAAGTAAATTCTAACCCTAAGGATAACAACCAACCAAACCACCACCACCACAATAAAGGACACCGGAGGTGTAATAGATATACCGGGCGAGCTGAATTAAAAGATGGGCCGGCATAATAATATTGTTAAGTTTGGCTGAAGGTAGTGTCATTAGATTTTTCCGTCTGAGAAAGTGTCGTGGTAGCTTACGGGAGGTTAGAGGTGTGCAACATGAGACGTTAGATTTTTCCATCTGAGAAAATGGCGTGGTAGCTTACGGGAGTTTAGAGGTGTGCAACGTGAGACGTAAGATTTTTCCATCTGAGAAAGTGGCGTGGTAGCTTACGGGAGTTTAGAGGTGTGCAACGTAGATAAATATTTTCCGTCTGAGAAAGAGGTATGGCGTGGTAGCTTACGGGGTTTTGAGTGTGCAACGTAGATAAGATTTTTCCGTCTGAGAAAGAGCATGGTAGCTTACAGAGTTTAGAGGTGTGCCAGGAGTCATTAGATTTTTCCATCTGAGAAAGTGGCGTGGTAGCTTACGGAGTTTAGAGGTGTGCAACGTGAGATTAGATTTTTCCATCTGAGAAAGTGCGTGGTAGCTTACGGGAGTTTAGAGGTGGCACGTGAGGAAATATTAGGACTTGCTACCGTATATTATATGAAGAACGTGAGAACGACTACCGTATGATTATTATGAGAATGCGTGAGAACGAGGGGGTTGAAGTAAATCTCTAACCCTAAGGATAACCAACCAACCAAACCCACCACCACCACAATAAACGGGGTCAGAGATCACCGAGGTCTGCCCGGTATATCAACGGGGTCAGAGATCACCGGGGTCTGCCCGGTATATCAACGGGGTCAGAGATCACCAGGGTTTGCCCGGTAGTCTATATACGGGGTCAGAGATCACCGGGGTCTGCCCGGTATATAATAACCACACTCTCATCGACCACGCTGGACTGGAGTTTTGGAGAGGCGATCATCGTCTTATCGAAGGAGAAGGAACAGGGAAAAGGATGCTACGATATGAGAAATGAGCCTCTCAAATGCAGACAGGACAGATCCGATGGGCTTCATGATGAGAGCGATCCAACATCTATAAGCTCCATGGGAGCACCTCTGATACCACACGATTTCCTGAGATTGCCGATAGACGTTGCCGTTCGACGGTACCACTCAAGATCAAGCGAGTGGGTATACTATCGTGTAAAGGAACTTCATAAAAGGGTTCTGATGTTGAGCAGCCTTTCTTGGGATCCAAACCATCAGAACCCGTTCTACACGATTGTCTTGGTCCGCCATCCACATCATGGCTTGGGTTTGAGTCTGATGGAGAGTAGGGGCTGGGTGCGAGTTGTCGAGGTATCGGACAAGATAGCCGATGTTGCCTCCAAGGGGAATGTTGGGGATATTTTAATTGGTGTCAATGGGCTGACAATCTCAGAAATCTCGCCGCAGAAAGTTCAACAGCTAAGGCAAGTAGTGAACTTCTTGAGGAGTTGTCCAAGTCCCGTTGTGCTGCACCTTCAACAGGGGCATCCAGATAATACCGCCTTGGTAACCAAAAGAGGATCGAACGAACCAAAGCAAAGTTCCCCAGTGAAGCAACGTCAAATGCGGGCTCAGATGCACCCGCTGGAAAAAGCTATTGCTTCCCGTGGTTTTCTGCGTTCTTCTTCAGGTAGGTCGTTGGTATAACAAACAGAGGAACCCGAGAGGCTTGGACTCAAGCAACCTTGCCCATTTCTCCTCAAATTTCCCCTAGTGCCAGCGCTGGAAACTACGCGAGCTCTTGCCCAGTTTTCGGAAAGGGCACGACAGTGGCAGTTGTCCAATTCGTTCCTGGTTGACGTGACAACACTTAAACTCCAGTCTTCATTGCAGAGCACAGCCTTTGAAACTCAACTGCCAACTCTGAGGAACCTCGTCGGCAACCCACACAGAAATACAGATATTCCTAGCTACCGGCACTATCCAACGCCAAAAACCACGACAAGCTCCATTGGCTCCTTATCCAGGGATTCTACCCTAGAATCTGATTACTTCAATCTTCCCAATGCCGGTCCGTATATTGTAATCCCTCTGGTTGGAGTTAGGAAAGCACTTTCTCCCAGGTACAAAGGACGTGGCTTAGGGACGTTTACTTCAGGTTGGAGATCTGGAGATCTAACTCGATGCTACGTTTCCTTCCCCCAGGATCTTGAATTCTTTCTTGGACGGTGAACTTGTGGCATTTACAATGTGGGTCCGCGATGCTGAGAGCGGCCGTGAATGGTATGCACCTTTGCGGTATTTTCAAGACTTTCAAGACCTGCGAGAGGCAACATCCAATATTTATCCACTGGTCGATGATATTCCTTTCCCTTCCCAAGCATGGTCCCTGTTTGGACCAAGTGATGCACCAGACTCAGATGCGGCACGCGAAGCAAAACGCGCGCAGCTTGAAAGCTATCTTCGAAGACTTTGCGGCATGATCTACAGAGATGCTTTACACCCTGCCATCATTGAAGTTGCTATCCATTTGCAATCTTTCCTTGGATGTGACAGCGCGCTCAAGGGGGCCGACCAGTGGCCCTGTATTCAGTCGTCAAATGGCTTCAAAAACTCTAGCTGGGACGGAGTGAAACACAGCGAATTGCAAGTCTGCACTCGGGAGTCTCTGAAGCGAAGCTTCGAGCTGTACACGTATCGAGTGTTACTTCTTGATTCTGTCCAGCAAGTTGTTGCCAATTTCGTCAGTTCTGCCCGCGACAATAGCCCAACTCTCTTGGATATCGAGTACATGAACTCGGATAATCTCAAAAGATTCTCCACTGATTTACTCAAGAGAATCAAAGCCGCAGTCGATCAACTTCAAGGTCTGATTCTGGAGGGATGCTTCGACGATTTCAAGGCCATAGCAAATGGCGAGTTATACCGGTGTTTGCATCCTTTAATGTTAGGGGGTGGCCAGGGACAAGCGTATCTGGACAGGCTTTTGCGAGAGGCGGTAAGAGAGCAAGTGGAGATTGCTGTATACTTACCGCTTCGTAGTACCACGTCCAGGCTGTTGGTTAATGCTTGGAGACACGAAGACGCAGAGGTCGCATTCAAGCTTCGGGCAAGTACGCACTCAGTTTCACTATCGAGCGATTAATTTTGTTTGCTAACCAGTGCCTGCTTTGTGTTAAAAGGATCTGCGAAGTCGTCCTCAAGGTAGTTTTCACTTTGAACGTGAAAGGGGCGGGTTGTCAAGCTCAGTTTCAGGGCTGCTAAAGAAGGTTAGCTCGAGTGCGCTCCCGTGCGCAAAGCTCAGAGCTCTGTTTGATGCTGCAATGGAAATATCCCGAGTATATCAACCTGATGAATCGTCATTGGAGAGCGGCGACCTAGAGCACTTTGGCGCAGACGATTTCTTGCCCGCTTTGGTTCATAGTGTGATAAGATCAGACATCGAGCGACCCTTTGCAGTTTGTAAGTGAGCAGCTAGTTTGCGACTTCACCTAAGCTTGCGTACGCTTCTCTCAAAGGACTGCTGTCTTCTTGCAGGTGCTCTGCTTCGTACATTGTGTGACCAGGCGAATCAAATTGGAGAGGTGGGGTACTACCTTGCTTCTTTCGAGGCTGCAATCACCCACATTCGTGAAATGGATTTGTCCGAGAGTGACGAGTTCCTCACCTCGATCCCTTCGTGGTGAGCGCATGCTTGCTGGCCTCGCTATGCCCATTCTTTACTGGCCTGACGTCCAACTTTTGGGGACCGGTTGTGCTTGGCTTTGACACTAAACGTTGAATTCCTTTCTTGACAAAGAAGACTGAATTAATGGGTAGCACTTGATGGTTACTGTACAGTTACATCGCTACTCTTAGCTTGACAATCAAGCAAGTCTGGACCAGCTAGGCTTGATGGCTGCTATGTTCAATGCGCGGTTACATTGTTGGGACCAACGATGGGAAATCACTTGGAGCGTAAGAGGGAGCCCTTGGTGAAGCAGTTGATGGGCTACGATTGAATCCGCCTCTATTTGGGCTTGTACCGGTACCCCGTGAATCGTCTGTCTGGGTGGCGGAGTTCGTGGTCGCCAAAGCTGTTGCATGGCATGTAGACTGACAATGTGACGTCCCTGATAAATCTGGTGTTGACGGGAATGTGCAATTCGCAAAGCCACGTCCCTTTGCAACGACGTCAAGCTCGTTGCTTCCGGTCCCCGCTTCCAAGGAAAACGGAACGATCTCCCACATGGCGTCCTGCCATGTCCCGCCTTGAAGCCTTACTTCGTAGCAAGATGAGTAAGACAGACATAGAGCTTGTACGTCAAAATCACCACCATCCATGCTACTTCGAAGGACGAAGGGACTGTACGTATCGGAGGAAGTGGGCAAGGACCCTCTGTAGTTCCGTTCGTCTTCCATGCCTTCATCATCGATCTTTCCGACTTGTCGAATGGAGATGAGCGTTTCTTCTCCCTGTGTATCGAACCGCTTGAAATTGTAGAATGATTCCCCTTCAAGGCAAACTGCCTGATTGCTGGGTTGCTGCTGTTGCTGCTGTTGCTGGCCAGCATCTCTTTCCAGTTCAATGTCGGCGCGATAAGCTGAGGGGACTGCAGATGGTGCGTCGCTCGGGGGCATACTCTCCTCTATTATGATAGTAGGGTGCGCGGCAGGGACTCTGGACAAAGGGTCATCCTCTAGAGAAAATTGAAGTCTTGCAATATCAACATGCGATTGAGCGTAAATTGAGACAGCGATAACATCTTCCCATCTCCGTGCAATGGCGGAGACATTTAGCAGCGCCAAAAGCACAGTGCGGACGAAAAACATGGTCATTCTATCTGGAAATCACACAAGCTGACTAATACCGGTAGCTAGTTCCATGCAGTTTGCATTGCTTTGGTCTCGACCTCGAAGAGATCTCGGGAAGTGCAAAGATTCATTACGGAGAGCAACGGCCAAAAAATTCGGCCGACGAACGTTTCGAGAGGGAGGTGCGCAGTGTCGGAGGAGCTCGGGAGTCGAGGACAGTCATCAGTCCACGGTCAACAGCCCGCCCCAGAAGCTAAAAGTACAGTACTGTAGACTAGCTAGCTACTAGACTACTGTACCGGGAGCTGGCCAGGTTTAGTCTTGTGTTCACTAGTGACTACAATTTTAAGCTATCAAAGCGGTTATACCATTGGCAGTTCAAGGCCCCGGAAAGGTCTCTGTAGGATCAGCCGGATCAATCATTACATGTACATTATCTTGAGTGCAGTATCTGCGTGGATGCTACTAGTAGCTAGCTTTTGGACTGGTGCGAGACAAAGCGGCTCTCATCTATTGGTACTGCAGTTGTTCAAGTCATCGTCAGGAGCAGCTCAAAGCTACTAGCTAGAGTGCGTAGGCAGCTTGAGAGTTGAGAGGAGAGACTCAGTGAATCTTTGCGAAAATGCCGGATCCAACCGACACGACCAAGAAGCATCAAAAAGACGGCAATACAGAAGGCGAGAAACTAGACGAGAAAAACGCTGACAAGATGGAAGTAGATGATGCCGAGAAGGAAGAGGGCAAAACTGGAACGGATACAGATTCTGGAGAGAAAGAAGAGGATGAAGAAGGTCCATCCGACGATGAGGACGAATATCATCATAAGTGGCTTGACAAAGGGAAGCAACGCAGTGGGCGCACGGAGTATGAATCGGTCCTAGTGACTATCAATACTACGACATTTCGAGTCAACAGAAACGATTTCGTGCTCCTGTGGAGCGATCAAGGTGAAGATGACCAAAAAGAAAACGAAAAGGAGGAAGGGAAAAAGGAGTCCGTGGAAGGTACGGTTATCTGGCATGCTATTTTAGCTGCTCTAGCTATCTAGAGCAATGCGACGGGACTCTCATGATTCGATTGGATTTATGTTTTCCCCTGAAGAAATATGGCAGTCTGCCGGATGCGCCAAGGTCGAAGCCATGTGGGAAGAACCCGCCAAATCCGGACGTATGCAAGCCATGTTTCAAGCCAGATGGTTTCTAAGGGTGCGAATTCAATCATTGCAACCATTCTTGTGCATAGACCCTGTCTCTCATATTCAAGGCTGACCCACCGTCGCTTCACACAACCTTTACCTCGTATTTCCCCCGCAGAAACAGGATCTCTCACGAATTCTCGATGGCGATGAGGTTGTTGGAGACTTGACGCTAAAGAGACTGATGAATCGAATGCAACCACGCGAGGTGGTTGAATCCCTGGAGGTCGACAATTATTTCTTCGGTGTGTGCGGGGGGCCTGCAAGAATCTTCTTTAGAGATCCACCAACAAAAGATGAGGACAAGGAAAAGCAAAATCCACTTCCAAACGACGCCTTCATGTGCCGCTACGCGCTGAAGAAATTGGAAGATTTGTCTGAGCAAACTGATGGCGAGTCAGCAGCTGACGACGACCCCAGAAAGAAAGCCAAACGTCGTTTGCAGGTCGTTCCGTACGAAGCTGACAGCAGTGGGGACGAAAATGACGATGATGGTGATCCGAATGACATCAGCAATCAAGAGAAAAACAGCAAGAAGCGTCGCCGAAGTGACTCCGAAAGTGACACCATGGATGAACCGTCATCGGGCCAAGAAGGATCCTCCTCGGACGACGAATCTAAAGTTGTACAAGGAGAAGGGACCCTGACGTCTCAAGGGAAAATTAGAGTCGGGCCCAAGTTTCAGGTGCCTGTACCAGCCTTTGATGCGAACGTAAAGGTATCGTCCAGAACGAGAAACCCCACCCTGGTATGGAGCGCTAGCAAATCTCCCAGTGAAGAATCGCTGAAGGAGTACTTCGAGAAGGCTGCGGCCATTCTGACTCCATTTGCCAAACAACAGCTGCTCGTGGCAGGAGCCGAACCTTTTGCTTCGAGACCCTTCGCCCAAACGGACAAAGATAAAAGATGGGAAGTTTCGTTTGTCTCCACAGCTGCGGCGCTGGCCGCTTTGCCGGCCGAGAGCATGTATCGAGAATGTGACTCTGATGCACTTTTAAAGAATCTCGTTGATCAAAACTACGACGTGGAGGCCGCAGTAGGGATGGTATCTGCTTCACCCAGGGATTTTCTCTCGAGATGGACTCTTGCAGAACGAGAGGGTTTCGACGGAGCATTTCGGAATCACGGTGGCTCACTTCGATCCGTTGCAACAAGTTTGTCCTCGTTGTCTTCTGACAAGACTCATCGCCAGATAATTGACTACTACTATCGCTTCAAAATCCCCGGTCAGTTCCAGCGTTATCGCGAAAAGGTGAGATGACTTTTGTAGCGGGGTTGGAGCAAACCACAGAAAATGACTAATGATTGTTTTGTTTGCAACGCAACAAGATGCGAGAGCAAGCCGTTCGAATGAGCGAACTGTTGGAAACCAAGAGATTCCAGGAGAACAGGGAGGTGCAAGTCTCTCGACAGCAAGGTGATGGTAGCGCTACTGGCGAACCAGAGAATAAGATTCAAGGAGGAGAGAAGGGATCAGAATCGGCAAACTGGTCTGATACTGGGACTGGTGATGTGTCTCAAGCAGTCGAAGGGAGAAGGTCAGATGCCAAGCAACTGCTGTTGGATATTCAGCGCGAACTGGGCAAAGACAAGATGGCTGAAGTTGGAGGGGCGATTATCAGTTTGAACCAAGTAAGTTACCACAAGACGCTGCACAAACGTTGTAGTCGACGCGCCCTAATATCTTTTCGATTGAACCATTCGATTCCCACCCCGGATCCGCAGGGTTCCGAAGTCGAGTCGAAGGAAGCCCTCCTGCGTATTCTGAAGAACCACCCTCAACTTCACCAGCGACTAGTAGAGTTTCTGCCTCGACGGTTCTGGAAGTGACTTCACGTTGGACCTTCACTTTTGTAGTCAACAACTTCTACTATAAAAAAAGCAAACTATAGTACAATGGAGTTGTTCCTCGCCATAATTCAAGTTAGAGCAGTTGGCTACCGGTATCGGACTGTCATGGCAGTATGTGCCAAAGCGAGCCGAGGAATGAAGTGAGTTGCTCCGATGACGTGCATTCTGGAGTCCCTGGAGCCGGGATACTCGTTTCGAGGCAGTGGTCCTTCTTCGTGAGTGATTCGATTCCATCTGGCCGGGCCGGGAGTGGTTGAGCTTCGTCGTGAAGCCTCCCAATCCATCAGTTGGGAAAGAAGCCGGGAACATGTCGTTGAAGCTTTGCGTAGTGGTTCGTTCTGCCATGTTCATTTCTCTACTTTTAACGCTCGGCTTGACTTCTTGCGACCAGCACCACTCCGTTTTGCTCTGTGACTAGCGCCGTTCGTGCCTTTAGTGCCCAGTGTTCGGCCGCTGACGCCCGTGGCATTTGTATTCATTGTCCTAGTACTCCCATGAGTACGGCTGCTGCCCTCTGTCGCTGCGCCCGATCGCACTCTATCTCGGTCCCGTCTACTCCGCCGATCTGCCTTGCTATCTTTGCGATTCCTGTCAGCTTTCAGATTTCTCTCACTCGTTTTGTTGAGCGACCTGTAGCTCTTAGCCTTTTTGTCCATCTGGGATCTCCTATCGCTACTGCCATAACGCTTTTCAGATTGATGCATGCCAGACGATCGCTGTTCTCGAGAGCCGTCTACTCTGCCATCGATGATGACCTTCTCGGGGATACCAGCTTCCACATCATTAATCAGTTGCATCAGCTCATCATCGACCCTCCTTACTTTCATCTCGAAATTTGCTTTACGGTAGGCTTCGTCGATGACCATATTGTCATGCCCCCACGTGTGACGCACCTCCGCAAGCTCCTGTTTCGCCTCTCCTGCTCTCCCCAAGCACATGTATATTTCTGCTTTTAGTGCCCATGCCTCCGCATTCTCTGGCTCTGACTCCAACGCGTCTTTGCAATCTCTCAAGGCTTCGGTGTAGTGTTTCGAAAGGAGCAGCGCCTCGGCTCGTTCCATTTTTATCAAACAGTACAAAGCCGTGCCAGTTGGGAGCGGCAGTGCTCTTTCGTCCATTGCATCTGTGAATTGTTCCACGGCTTCCTTGTATCGACCTCGTTTTGCATAGCCACGGCCTTTCGAAAACGCATTTAATGTCCTGTCACATTGTTCTACTTTCAATTGAATTTCGGCATTGCCAGGGTTTCTGTTTTGGAGTTCTTGGAGAAGCCGTACACCCTTTTCCATTTCACCAGAGAGAAATAGAACAAGGCCTCTCAACTGCAGAGCTTCCACATGATTTGGGTTGAAGCGCAACGCTTTATTGACTTTGTCTAATGCCGACTCGGTCAATCCAAGTCCAGCGTCTGCCATGGCGGCCACTAGCAGCAAACCAATGTTGTCAGATTCTTTTGCCAATGGCTTGATGGTTTCTTTGGCCTTTTCGAGGTTACCTCCATCAATCATTGCATTGACAACCTGCAAAACTTCTTTTTGTTCTCTGGCTTTGGCGAGTTCTTGTTTCACTCGTGGCGACGTTGGTATTTCCTTGTGCGCCTGCTCAAGACAGTCCAATGCCGCTTCAAAGATACCAAGTGCCATAAGCGCTCGCCACTTTCGAATGTATGACTTCTCGTTGGTCGGTTCATATTCGAGGGCTTTGTCACAATCATCTATGCACTTTTGGAAATCTTTCTCTCTGAAATATGTCACAGCACGATTTGAATAGAGCGTAGCGACAAGCTGACGCTCTTCATGTCCAACAGTGATGATCCCAGTGATTACGTTCAGTCCCTCCGTGTACAAGTTTCTGGCTCCCTCAAAATCCCCTTTGTTGAACTTTGCGTTTGCCTGTTTCTTCAGCTTTTCACTCGTCGCAATTGCTTCCGTGGCTTCTTGGCCCATATTCTCTGGCGGCGCTGTTCTGGATTGTTCCTCTCCGTTGTTGATGGTTGGTGAGCCCAACTCAGAATTAGTTTCGTCTACAGTGGTGACCGGTTTGAAGGTTTTCCTCGGGGATAAATTGTTGCGTGGTATACTACCCACGGAAGAATTCCAGTCCATATCCGTGTAGGATACCTCCAGTTCTTGTGGCGATTGTATTGATTCTGGAGGATCTGCCGAATCTTGTCTCGCGGCGGAAGCGGTCGTGGGGGTATTGAAATCTGCTCTCAAGTTACTGGCTGATCTGTGTTGCCGCTCCATTACATCAGCAGGGGTGGGCGGTGGCTTTTGACTGCCATTGTCACCACCAAAGGGACCATTGATTTCCTGATCCGGAGCTACGATGGAGGGTCTACCGGACTTGCTATTATTGTTGAAGAGGGATGGCACCGACAAACTGCGTGTCACATGGTTCATCGGCGGTTGCCCATTTTCGCCATTGGCGTGTTTCTGGTGATGCCGAGGCCAATTTCCATAGTCTCCGCGCCACTCGCATGATTTGCTGTGTTCATCGGGAGCTATACACGCTACTTGCACCATCTTAAGCACTTCCAGAGCCAAGGGTTGAGCTTCTCCAAGAGGCTGCACCATGACGGAAATGTCACCAAATTTGAGTAGATTACTTCGTATTGCTGAGCTCCCGCTATCAGCGGTCAGGTCTTGTTCGCATCTCGGACACACGCATGGCTTCTGATTGTCGATTTGCTTCTTAATCCAATCCATCAAACAAGACCTGCAAAAGGGATGCGAGCAGGGAACTGTCACGACGGCATCCAAAGAGACGAGACTTTCGCAGAGCTTGCAGACAAAAGCACCGTAATGCTTGTCGTCCGATAACACTTGCGTCAAGTCGAAGCCCATCGTCTCGCTTAAGGTAGCTAGCTATACCGAGGTAGGCAGCATGCTTGTTGGAGGAAGCCCAAGGTTGAAACCAACAGCAACATGGATTGAATGATTGTGGTTGAGACGCAAAAGAGCACGACCTTTTGAATGCCTCGGTTGTGCCTTCACCCTAATGAAAACCACAACTTTGGAAACGGAAAATTCCCAAAAGCATAAAAATTAGGGTACGTCGGATACGGTAAGCTACATACGGTACGGTACGCGGTTGCTAGCTCCTCGCGCGACCGGTACCGGTACCCGGTAGGTTCCTGGCAACATAAAAGCGGAACGGCTACCGGCGGTAGCTAGCACTGGAACTAGCTAGCTAGAACGATAGGTAAAAGTAAGTAGTGGGAAGAGAATGGCAATCTATCAATGAGGAGACTGGCCTGGAGTAAAGCAGAAAGAGCATGATACCAGTCTAACTTGAAAATACAAGCTCGGCAAGGATTTCGATTTCGATAGCGGCTTCAGGCCCAAGCATGCCGGGAACTGAAGCGACGAAATCGTGTAAGAGCTCTTCACGTTGGAAGGACTTGCCATGGGTCTTTGTGCTTCCAAATCAGCCACATGCCGCATCAATGGTTGGTTTACACTAGTTGATTCATTCAAACAAGACGCCACGCTCCACTGATCATCCCGAATGTGCCTCGGCCTATGTACATCCGCCCACGCCCTAATATTGACAAAGCACTGTTTTGAAGATACCAGTGCCGGTATCTATACCTAAACTATTGAATGATTGACATGGTCTCACAACAATGCAATGAAACTACAGTGTTCATCGGCTAAACCAGAGGTTTATTTGAGCTACTACTAGCGAATACAGACGACTGGTAGGATTCTAATCGTCCCCTGTTAATTTTGCCGACTCTCCGAATAATAGTGTGTCAGGCTGGAAGAGTGGAAAGAAAGAAACAAAGGTAAGGTCAAGAGAGCTGCGGGTGACAGATAACATGGGACTCATCAATAAGAAACGCACCATGAGAGGCATGTACAACATCATATAGACTGTGGAGAAAAGAACCACAGTGAGGCCAACTGCTGTCCACAGAACCACATTGAAGTATTGGATTTGGAACATTGTCTTGTAGGGAGTGACCTGCAAATAAAAGGGGAACAAATAAGTAAGCAGGTATTTTTTCACCTGCAACATGATACTATGTGCCTTTAAGAAAACTCACCCATTCTCCATACGAATTGTAGTATCCGTATCCATAGTAACCATTCTTTTGGTTGGCATTGTTGTTTCCATTGCCATTTTGGTTGGCGTTTTCGTTGTCTTCTTCTCCTTCGCCTTCTTCCTCATCTTCACCTTCAAGACGACGTGAAAGCTCACGTCTACGCGACGCTCCTGCTTCTTCCTCAACAACAAGGTGAAGAACAACAGTCTTGCCAGCAGCAGAAGCCACGGTGTCGAGGCCATTGATGATATCACGCAGCTGACTGTCGATAGACGCACTATCCTCACTTTGAACCGTGGTCATCATGCCAGTCAAGCCCTCGCCTTCGGAGTGCTTCTTGCAACTAAGCGCAAAATCAGTGGGAGCCACGGTATCGACCTGTCGAACCTTGCCAAGCAAGGCATCACCAAACTCGCCAAGGACTTCGAGATTACCAACGACACCATTGTCTCCTTCGTCTGACAACAACTTGGACACAAACGGCATCGTGTCCATATCAACACCACTTCCCTTCAATCCAACCACCAATCCAGTGCTGGCTTGGCTGAAAATATCGGGAACCACCGTCATGCCCGCATGCTGGAGTCGGCGTCCAGGAGAGTGAAGGGCGGACCAGAAAGATGCCACACCCTCAACCGTGGTCAAAGGATCTCGACTGTCCGTTCGTTGCACAGCACCGCGTTTTCCCAATTCGATAACAGACACTCTTGTCGCAGCTTGGGCCACGATGGGGGCCGCAATGGCCATTGAGAGCAGCAAAGACACCTTCATCATGGTCAAAGACAGTTATTCTGAAAGGTATTGTTCAAAATGGATCTGCTTGGGGTTGGGGCCGTCGGTTGATTCTTGGGCGAGTGCTCTCAAGCCAAGGCGTCCTAAGTAAGCGGGCGCCGACCCTCAACCGTTAATAGAGCATTGCTCTAAAGCCGGTAGAGCCGTTTCAACACAAAATCTCCAGTCTCCCAATCTATTTAGGTCCAATGGTCCAATTACAACATCATTCCCAAGCCCATCCCTTCGAGACAACCATCACCCATCACGAAGCTACCCGTGTACTGGGACTAAACGGCGGCCCTTACATTGTTGTGTAGAGGATGAAATGATGTAATCGGATCAGTTTTTCCTATGGAAGTGGCATCCATGGTGCCCCATCCCCTCGATGCCGCCTCGATTCCTCAGAGGCAGGAGTAATCCTGTCAAAGCAGCGTACTAAAAGAGTAAAATTTGTAAAATAAAGTGAGTGTGTAGTGTAGTTAGGGATCGTTAGCTATGCTAGTATTTATGTACATATGTCCCTGATGCTCGACGCATGATCAGTGTCGTCGACGACGTCTGATTTGCACGTCCTCGTGACCAGCGCCATCGTCGCTTTACTTACCCTTTCTTATCGATGATTTTTTTGTACACTTCGACAGCTTAGCGGTCGAATATTGACCCACCACATCCATTATGTACAAAAGCTGCCGGGCTAGATGATTGGGAAAGGAAGAGGTCACACAGCGGACCTTACTCGCGAAGATAAGCGGCCATCGTCTCGTCAGCATCCCAAGTCACTTTGAAAGTGCTTCTCTTCCTCATACTGTCCACTGTCCTGGCTGCACGTGCCATGGCTGGAACGGGCTCTGGTGTTTTCTTTGTCGCTTGTCCCGTCTGCTTCTTGAGGCCCCGTCGATTTGGTGCGGTTGTTTGATATCGAACCGCAGCCCTCCTAATGGCATTAGTCTCTGTCCGCGGTGGCGGAGGCTTGGTTTTCAACGTCACAACACTCCGGCTGCTCTGGGCTTTTTCGGGAGCTTTGCTACCACTAGCTGGAGCCAAACTCTTTTTGGAAAAGGAATCTAGAACTCCAAGTGGCCCGAGTCCCATTGATGCTTTTTTCACAGCGCGAAGGTTGGTTGGAACGTCTTCTCGAATGCGCCATTCCAGTGCTGCCACTGGGACAGGGCCTTTCGGTCTCACGTCAACCGTATAGGAAAGCGATGTTTCCAGCTCACCATTTTCTCCAATTTGTTCCGTGGCCCTCCACTCTCCATCAAATTCTGAAAAAAAGAAACTATCGACGCATTCAAAGCCAATTACTCGTTCTTCTTGAGTCTCAGCAGATGCGACGATTCGTTCCGTCATTGCCATGGTCACACTGGCTCCAAATTCAAAGCCAACAATCTTCTGAGCTCCCTTTTGGTATAGCTTACATCGGAAAGACCCATCGCCAGCCTTTCCCTTGGATTGTGTGGATACGATTCGGCTTTCAACGAGATTCGGTACATGGGTAGCCAACCGGTTGTAGTCGGAGAGGACGGCCCATACGTCTCGCAGGGGCGCTTCAATGCTAATGGAACCAGCGATCTTCCTGGAATTGGAAGATGTTCGGTCGATCCGGACAGCAACAAGTTCACAGGAATCTCCATCCAGTGTAGTCTCGCCGCTCTCGGTACCACCAAACCACCACACGTGCAGCGCTGTCGGTGACCGTGCTTGCTTACTACCGGCACTTCTTGTGGCAGTAGGTATTATCAGCTTTGAGGGCATCGTTACGGGTGTGGAGAACCCATCTGAACACAAGATCTGAGCACATAGTGCTACCAACACTACAATTCCTTGCTTCATCGCTCTTTCCGTTTGTCTCTTCTTCGATGTCAATTAATGACAACAGAATCTTCTCTGGCTAGCTGGGAAGTGGCTGACAAAGAAAGAATGGTTGCTATGGTAAAGAAGTCGAGCATCTACGTGAGACAACGAGCGGGAAGACGGAAGAAAGGAGTGAATCAGAGTTGCAGGTGGCTGTGGGCCCTGTTCTTCGCTGGGACGGGACTTCCTCTGCATGGGTCATGGCGTCATCATGGCTGCAGGCCTTTGACACCTGAAGAAACAGGGACACGTCAGTCAACCAAGAGTGACCGAAATTCAAAATTTGACTCGACTCGAGTCAATCGAATGATTCGATTGAATTCAATCATTCGATTGCAAACATAGCCACTACTAGCTAGCTAGCTAGTACACGTACTACCGTAGCTACCAGGTAGTCTAATTTCGTCTCCATAGAGACGACTTGTTTTTGGGGTAAGTGGGATTTTCAGGGGAAGAAGGCAGTAGTATGATTGGTGGAGGAGTACCGTTAACTCAAGTAAGACACAAGTAAGACACCAACGTACATAGACACCAAGCCAGCTCCCTGTACGTACCACTGTGCTACCAAGTCAGCTTTTTCGCGCCAATATTTTCTGTTGATCGAAATTCCTTTCTGAAAAGCCAATCGACAATGATGGAATCGATGGCTCACTCTACCACACAGCAGCGTCATTAACTCAACAAAGAAGTCATCTGCAATACACGGCTCTTAGCCTTATTCGCGACTCGATCCTAGATAGGGTTTGAGTTCGACTCATGACTGAGTCTTTCGTGAATAGTCACTGAGACAGGGTTCTCATGACCGCTAGTCATACTAGGTCGATGGTGAAACATCGCGCTAGATATTTAGCTGGCGTGGAGAGATTCCACGCTACTAGATAAGTGCTAGACGAATCTTCCACGCGTTCCGTTTTTGGATCGTGGAACGAGTAGGATTACTACCACAACCTACTCTATCACACTTTACAGTCTCTCGCGGGAGCTCAGATCTACGATCCCTTGATTGTGATTCTCTCATAACTTTCATTCTCTCAAACTCAAAACACTCGAAAGATCTTTACACTAGCTTTTAGCGTAGTGCATTTTGTTAACAAACACAATAGCTTTCAGTACCCTCAACCTATTCCTCACCATGAAAATTGCCAAAGACGCATACACCAGCTTCGAGTCTAAGCTGCGCGACAAACCAATCCTTCCTCTCATCGGCCTCGACGATGAATGCGAAATCGACGATTCTCGCTCTACCACCTACAAACTTCGCACGTTCCAGCATGCAACAGCGCCAAGTACACCTTCAAGGTCCAAATCATCAATGATCTGAGACTCCACGTCAGCATCAAGTGGCTGGACGTATGGAGAAGGTCTTCGTCGGGCTCGCCATTGTACGCTACGACAAACATAACCTCCTCAAGGAGTGATTCTTAGCTCTGCCAAAGCAGTTACGAATCTAGCTGTGCAGGCCACGTGAAATACGTTGGAATGCCTTGCGCCAGATTGCAGTCAACGCGATTCCTCCACGCGACATACGTGCGGTGAAGACGAAGCCACTTTCCAAGCACGTTCCAGACTGCCTGGAACGGAGCAGCTCACTGCTTTGGACGACACTGACATTACGTTGGCATAAATGCCTGTGTCGAAGCGGTCTGTCCTACAAGGCTCTTGAAAAGCAGAAACGCTTCATGCGCCGCAAGATGCGTAAGCCTGTGATATGTCTACTCGGGCTTATGTCAACAACCTCAGTCGATGAACGCCGATGAACTTCCTCGTCTACCACCTTTTGGACCCAACCAAACGTTGAAACATGACGAAATCATTGACATTGTTTGTCATGGAATTCCACGCTCGTGGATGAAGAAGATGGACGAACACGACTTCGATCCTTTCTCAGCTCCTATCGGAGAAACATGGATTCTGCGAACGCAGGAATCCTCCGAAGCTGACAAGGGCGGTGATGCCAAACAAGCTCCTTCGAAGAAGAAAACAGCAAGAAGTACAAGTCTTCTCGCAACAACGACCACTCTCCAAGAACGAAGAAAAATGGTGCGACTACACGATCCAGCACTCACAACACTGCTGACTGCTGACTCTGAAGAAGCTCAAGGCCAAGTCTCAGTCTCGTCCGACAACGATAACAAGCAGCGTACAACAAGAACAAGACTTGGAAACGCAAGTCGACGACGCCAAGACCTACACCAAGAAGGAACTCTCTGTTCTCATGAAGAAAGTTCCAACGCTGCGGTCAAGGCTGATCGCAAGAAGAAAAGCGAATGCAACCACGTTGCCAAGCGCAAGTCAGACGACTCCGACAACGAGGACGACTCCTCTGTTGGATCCATCAACATGATGACAAGAAAATGGCTGCCGTTGACAAGGCGCTTGCCGAATTCGACTTCAATCATTCGGATGGAGAGATCTCCGTCTGAGGATTAGGCCAGGATGATGATTCAACGGAACCATTTCCGATTTCTCATACCTAAGTGATTGAAGATATCTCACTAAATAGTAAAACAAGATTTGTTTGCAACAAGGAAGTCTACGGCAAATTAGATAATTGCCAGCAACTACTCAACTAGACCTGACGATCTGTTCAGCATCGTTAACTTCGTCCATGGCCAATCAACTCATCAACGTCGCAAAACAAGAGACCTCAAAACTATCGTCTATGTTAGATTTAACAGACGAGAGAAAGGGAAACAAAAACCCGTTACACTCTGTTGCTTACCGGATACAGGAGCATCCGGAACTTTAAGTACTCAAACTCATGCTAAGAGGTTACTCATGAAGAATCATGGGGGCGTCCAAACATTACGGATTGCCTCTTGTAAAAGAATTGAGACCCGCACGAAGTGTAAGGGCACACTCATGATTCCGATTCCGCGATAGTAGAATTATCGAATGGAATTTACACGTCACCAAGAACTTGGGGCGCATGAATGATCAAGGTCAAGACACTCTCTACGACCAAGAATCAAGTTTGATTTCACTACCATGTCAATGGAGTGGAACAGCATATTTTTCCCTGCGAAAGATGGCAATACCGATGGAGAAGAGAACTTCTCCATTCCTGATCCTGCAGCTGTCAACGACAGTGCAGATAGTCTCAAGAAGATTCTTGATGCGACATACGAACAAACTGACTTAAGGCAGATGTGCCAGAGTCGAAATCAGTTAAATAAGGAAGAGCAAGAACTGCCTCATGCCTTCTCAACCAAGTGCTCCGACCCAGTCGAGGGTACTTTGGGAGAGTTGCAAATGGACGACTACGAAGTAGAACTTCGTCCCGACGCTAAATCCTACTATACTAGGGCTCACCCTACTCCACGTGTCCATACCAACACTCTCAAGACAGAGGTTGAACGTCTCTGCAAGGCAGGAGTACTTAAAGAGATAAACTGTTCCGAGTGGACGGCACCAACTTTTATCATTCCCGAGAAAGACGGATCTGTACGATTCATCTCTGAATTCCTGGAACTGAACAAAATGATTAAGCGGAAGCCTTATTCTATCCCAAAAATACAGGACATGCTCTTGAATCTAGATGGATTCAAGTACGCTACTAGTCTAGACCTGAACATGGGACACTATCACATCGAGCTGTCTCCTCACTCGAAGCAACTCTGTACCATCGTACTCCCGAGGGGAAAGCACGAGTACCAGAGGTTGCCAATGGGCCTATGTAATAGTCCCGACATCTTCCAAAGGAAGATGAAAAAACACATGCATGACTTAGAAAATGTCCGTGCATACGTTGATGATCAACTCATCCTAACTGACGACGATCTAGTAGATCACGTTGAATAGTTAGATGAATCTTTCCAAAGACTTCAAAAAAAGTCGGATTTAAAATCAACACTACCAAGGCCTTCCTCGAAAGAAGGAACTTAAGTATCTAGGCCATTGGATTACTCGAGAAGGAGTCCAACCCTTAACTAAAAGACAATAGATGCGATCCAGCTATCGCTCCTCCTACGAATAGGAAGGAACTTCGTGGATTCATTGGACCAATGAACCACCAACCATCGTTCTAAAAACAGACGTAGGTTACCCAGTATCCATGACCGGCTGGGGTTGTCATGGACAGAGAACGTGAGTCCCGCGCAGAGGTCGAGAAGACTCTCCAGGATGAACATGGACTTCGTCGCAAGTTCACGCGCGTCAACCGTGACAAGATTCACAACATCCGTTTCGAAGCAAACTGGAAATACATCAAGGAACGTCGCCAATGACTTATCCAGAAAAACAATGATAGGGAGAACGCGACACGTGTCCCTCATCAACACAATGTCAAACGATACTATGATGATTCATCAGTATCAGCACCGCAAATACGGTCAGCCAAAGCACAAAGGTCCTTACCACACAGACCGAGTCAATAACAATGGCACTGTACGGCTCCGACATGCTACCGCCAATAGCGGCACAGTCTACCAGACTTGGAACATAAGGTATTTACACCCATACAAGACCTGATCCCCTTGTAGGATTGCCATCGTGCGACGCACATGTCTACATCCAATCTCCGGAGAGTGCCCCGCACTTTAATTCATATGTTCTTCTTGTTCGACTGATGTCGTGCCTTCCGTGACCCTTGTCAGGGGGCGAATGCAATACACGGCTCTTAGCCTTATTCGCGACTCGATCCTAGATAGGGTTTGAGTTCGACTCATGACCGAGTCTTTCGTGAATAGTCATTGAGACAGGGTTCTCATGACCGCTAGTCATACTAGGTCGATGGTGAAACATCGCGCTAGAGATTTAGCTGGCGTGGAGAGATTCCACGCTACTAGATAAATGCTAGACGAATCTTCCACGCGTTCCGTTTTTGGATCGTGGAGTGAGTAGGATTGCTACCGCAACCTACTCTATCACACTTTACAGTCTCCCGCGGGAGTTCAGATCTACGATCCTTTGATTGTGGATCTCTCTCGTTGATTAGTTTTCAGAGCTTTCTAATCCTCTCATAACTTTCATTCTCTCAA